TATTATGATACATATATATATATATATATATTATTGCATGTATATTATTATGCATGCACACAGGAATATGCATTTGTATGAAGCTGAGTATGGCTATATGCTTCTTGCAGTGCAGCGGGGACTAGCTGCTGCTGCGGCAGCTGCTGCTGCGCTGGAAGCAGTTTGCTGCTGTGCGGAGCCTCGCTGCTGCTGCTGCTGCTGCTGCTGCTGCTGCTGCTGCTGCAGGGCGAAGCCGTAGTTGTGGGGCGGCTGGCGGGGGAGGGGGGGCGGCAGCTGCAGTGGAGCAGCGCCATAGTGGAGCCGCTAGAGGGGAGTGCGCCGCTGCAGCTGCTGTGTCTTGAGGCTGCTGCACTGCAGCAGCAGCAGCAGCTGCAGCAGTGGGCCATCTCCAGGCTCAGGAAGCAGACCCTTGCCCCAGACGCGCTGCTGTTTCCAGGGATGGTTGTCGCGGTCAAGGGACGCCTGCAGCAGGTACCACAAGCAACTGCTGCTGCTGCTGCTGCTGCTGCTGCTCCTGCTGCTGCTGCTGCTGCTCCTGCTCCTGCTGCTTCTGATTCTGCTGCGCCAAGGGCTGCGCTAAGCACTGGTCTGTCGAGCAGCTAAAGTGACGAGCAGAGTAGAAGGCGCAGGAGCAGCAACAGTGGCATTAATAGTAGTGCATGCAAAATAGAGGAGAACAGCAGCAGCAGCAGCAGCAGCAGCAGCAACAGCGGTGCTTGTGCTGCTGCTGCTCAGGATGGTTATGGGCAGCAGCTACTTGTTTCTTCTTTCCACTGCGGCTTGCCGCTGCCCCCGCCAGCTCGGCCTTTGTCTTTGCCATTAGCAGCAAAGTTGCTGCTGCTGACGAAGCCAAATGCGCTTAAAGTTGGCAGCCCCGCGCCGCCCGCTGCCCCCCAGCAGCAGCAGCAGCAGCAGCAGCAGCAGCAGCAGCAGCAGCAGCAGCAGGTGCTGGATGTGCCCAGCAGCTACAGAGACCAGAACGTCCACGTGTTAATTTCGAGCGGCGCTTTTGTGGTTCCCTGCCCCAACGGGGGTTGGCGGCTGAAGTTAGTTTTGTTTTATTTTTTCTTTTTTCTTTTTTCTTTTTTTAATTTATTTCTTTTTCTTTGCTTTTCATTTGTGTCCCTCGAGCTGCTTCTTGCTTCTTTTTTAGCTGCGCCAGGCGGGCCCGTCTTTTTGCTTTTATTTTGGGTCTCTCTTGTGTCTCTTTTGCTTCCGTGTGTCTCTGCTTTGCTGCTGCTGCTGCTGCTGCCCTTTGCCTGCTGCTGCTGCTGCCTGGGGCCTGTTGCTGCTGCTGCTGCTGCTCGTCTTGTTGCTTCAGCTGGTCTCTTTCGCGGACTTGGTCTCCACCGCGCCCTTTCTTTTGCTTTTTCTGCTTTTCCTCTTTTTAGATTTAATTGGTTTGCTTTTCATGTTTTGTTTTTCCTTTTTGGACTTGCTGCTGCTTTGCTGCAGGCGAGACGCCCTCAGCTGCTTTTTGGAAGTGGTGAAGGAGAAGCTGCCGCACTTGGTGGTTATATTTGGGCCCATAGTTTCATCTTTGAACCTGCAGCAGCCTCAGCCTGCCCGTGCTGCTGCAGCTGCTGCTGGGTCTGCTGCTGCTGCTGCTGCTGTGTCCGCGGCTGTCGCGGACTGCCGCTGCGCCTCGCTGCTCCAAGTGCCCGAACTTACTCTCGCCTATGAAGAGTTCTTCCAAAGCATTTCTGCTGCTGCTTTGGGTCTCTCGTCTCATTTTATTTTAGTTCCGAGCACGAGAGATGCGCTGCACCCGGAGCCGCTGCCGCAGCCCCCATACTTGCTGCCCTGGCAGCAGCAGAACCCGCAGCAGCAGCAGCAGCAGCAGCAGCACCAGACTTGCCCCCATAATGTCCACCTAGTTGAAAACCCTTGTGCGCTGCAAGTCAACGACGTGCAGCTGCTCTTCACCACAGCAGACCCTCTGGCAGAGGTGGCGGGCGAGGTGCTGGCAATGCCCGGCGCGCTGCAGCAGCAGCAGCAGCAGCAGCAGCCAGCAGCAGCTGCTGCATCGGCTGCAGCAGCTGCTGCAGCTGCTGCAGGTAAGGCCCCACAGCCCGCGTATGGACGCGCTGAACAACTCTGCCAAGGACTGCTGCGGCAGGCAACTCTCTTCCCCCGAGGCAGCAGCCCCCGAGTGCCCATTGATGCCTCGCGGCTGCTGCCAGTAATGTTTGAAGCAGCAACTGTTCCGGACATCTTTTGCTTCCCCTCTCCCACTTTGCTGCAGCTAGCGAGGCCGAAGGGGGGCCAGGAGGCTGCGGGGGCTGCGGGGGGTGCTGCAGCTTGTGTGGCGGACGGGCGGGTCTTTATTTCCCACTTCGCTGGCGGCGCTGCTGCTGCTGCTGCTGCTGCAGCAGCAGACAGTGTCCGGCTCACAAATGTATTTATTAAACCTCCAGTGGTCAAGGGGGAAGCAGCGGAAAGCAGCAAAGAGGAGCTGAGCCTCAGCGAGCGGGTAACAGTTACCCATGCTGTATATACACCCCGCGGGCCCCACGTAGCAGCTCTTGGCCTTTCCTAAGGCAGTTCTTTTATTTAATTCTTTTGAATTCTTACATAACATGTTACCTGAGTGACTGGACTGCGGGGAGAGTTCGGGCAGGGTCACTATTGGCGAAAAGGCAGCAAAGAGGCTGAGGTGTACAGACACCTGAAACCCCACACGCTCTCCCCATCAACAGCCACGAAGAAAGCAAATAACTTCTGCTTTCCACTTTTTTAGAGTTCTCTGGCCCATGAGTTGTGTAGCGCAGACAGGCCAAATAGCTAGCCAAGATAAGAGTAATTAACAGAAATAAAAATCTAAAAAACAAAAAAAAAGCTCCAACATATGCCAGACAGCCCCGCAGCGCCACACAGCTTGTGCATGCAGCTGCAGTGTAAGGCTTAACTCTCCCCTCAAGTAGAAGGGGCCGCGCGGCTGCTGCCTCAGGCTGCAGCAGCAGCAGCACGAGGCTGCAGCTGCAGCATCCCCAGGCTGCAGCAGCCGGTCCGCTGCCCCAGGCTGCAGCAGCAGCAGCCTCAGGCTGCAGTAGCAACATCCCGAGGCTGCAGCAGCAACAGCCCCAGGCTGCAGCAGCAACAGCCCCAGGCTGCAGCAGCAACAGCTGTACTAGCAGCATCCTCGGGCTGCAGCAGCAGCAGCAGGCTGCAGTAGTGGCCGTCTTTTGGAAGTTCTAGAGCAGCTACTGAGGGGCGATCTGGCGGCAGCGGCGAACTGCCAGTGGGGAACAGAGCGGGGCTGCTGCAGCAGCTGTTAATATTCTGCTGCTGGCATTATGTTGTGTGGCTCAAGGCGGGACATTAGCACTTTATTTGCACTATAAAGCATGCAGGCTTTATACCTTAGCCAGCAGCTTCTTTTTGGGGGTCTTTGTTGTTTGCTGCAGGTGTTTCTGCATGCACATGGACTACATAGTGCAGCACTGTTTGTGTGGGTTTGCTGCTGCGTTTTGAACAAGCTCTTTCCTCCAGCCTCCACTAGCTTCCGGGCTGCTGCTGCTAACAGCGACAAATTTCAGATGTATGAGAAGCCCTCGGGCTGGCTGAATCTTCCTGCTGTGGCTTAAGACAACTGCAGCGCCACAAACGGCAAAGAGGTTTTAGCAGCACGGAAACCCCACCCCAGCCCCCTGCAAGACAGTGTCAATCAGAGTAAGTCAGTTTGTTCATTCTAAAACATTTCATTTTGCTGTTTGTGGTGCAGTACGAAGTTTTGCTGCAGCTACAGGCAGAAACCACCATGCTGCCACCGAGAACCACTGGTCCACGCTGTGCTTGTCAGAGGCGGCACCCGGGGTGACTCCAGGCCTCCAAAGTAAGCATCTGCAATTAAACGTTTATAAAATATAATTTTAAAAATTACTTAAATGGCAGTGGCAAATTTACAAAGTGCAGAACTTTCATCTCATCGCGTTTAGGCGACGAGGATGCGATGGTCACGCACGGCCCGACCAAATCCTATGATGGTGGAGCTGAAGCAAGCCTGGGATAAAGGCTGGAAGAAAGGAAACTGCTTGCAGTCGAGACTTAGAATGCAAAAACTTAAGACTTGAAAGACAATTCAACGTTAATTAGTGCATGCAGTCTGTCTGAGGAGAGGTGAGGCTCCGCAGTGTCCGCTGCTGATGAGAAGGGGTCGAGCGCAGTATCTGGCCCTACAATGCTACGTTGGTACAGTATTCAAAGGCTGTAATATTAAATGTTATGAATAAAATGCATAATTGGAGAGGTATTAGTAAAAGAAACATGGCTGCTGCTGGGTGCTGTGCAGATAGGCCAGGGTTTGGGGCTGGCAGTGTCACTGGTGCAGCCAGTGGTCGCGCGCACACCCAGAGACACAGAAGTTCTTCTTTGCAGAACATGACAATAACGACAATAACTAAAATGCATTTATATGAGTTTATTGGATGATTTTGACGCTGATAGATGCCTGTGCATCTATGTGTAGGTTGCTGGGAAGCCCATGTAGGGGCCAGGGTGGGCTTAGCTCACTACATCGAGCCCAGCAGCGCTTGCGTGCTGCCGAGCGCGGCGGCTCCTGAGGCAATTTCCAGCTAATTTCAGGAAGGAAATTGAGGCTAATTATGTGCTATTTATCAGTTTTAATTCCTTGGCAAGTTATCACGCGTGTCTGTAGAGTAGACTTCCAACTTTCCCCGGGTGGGCCGCGCAGCACCGAACACTGGGAGGCCCAGTGGCCCATGACCATTGACCCCCCGTTCTCTCTACGTTCTAGTGGCTCTCTTTATTTTTTTCAAAGACTCTGGGCTGCATTCGTCAGCAGTGGGCTGTTGAGGTGCCTCAAGTTGTCTTGTTTCTGCCTTGGTTCGGTGGGGCTCTGCGGGATGGCAGGAGCGCCTTGAGGCGCTCCATTTTCTGCATCTAGGGGTAACCAGTGGTCTTTTTGATTCAAAATCGGAGCAGAATGCAGCCAAGAGGTGCTCGCCTCGCTGTCTACGGATTAGAGACTCACGGACACGATGAAGAAGCAATTCAGCGTTGGCTTCACGATACACGAAGCCCTAAACCTCGTGCGAGAAAGAGGCCGCCCTATTGACCCCCTTGTAGTCGTTCGCTGCTGCGGCAGAGAATACAGATCCGAAATTAAGTTCGCGAAAGTCAATGTCGTTTCTTGGGATGAGTCCCACACCTGGACCGACATAGAACTTACCTCAGACGTGAGCCTCCACAAGGCCACGAGGCTCAAAACCCTTTATTCTAAATCAAAAATTGTAACTTCTTAAACATTCAAAAGGAAGAACTCACTTTGGATGCAGCCGAGACACTGCAGCCTTTGAACTCTATTCCGGGAGTGGGCCTCAGAACAGCACGGCATTCGCCTTCTGGAGGGGAGGAAACCCAGTTTTATAAAGCAAACAATTACTTTTTTGTGCATTACATGTTTAATGTGCGAGTTTTGAGGCAGTTCTGGCAGTTTTGGTGGGCTTTGTGAAGGTCTGAGCTTCTTTGTTTGAGTCGGGCTGGTTAAGCTCGTGCTGCAGCGGGTGTTCGCGTTGCTGCTGCTGTTGCATTTGCCGAAGATTTTGCTGCTGCAGCTGCGGTGTCTGCTGCTCGCAGGAGTGGGCGAAGTCCTTCATAGAATTCGAAGTTCAGGCCGCCAACGCTTTCTGGCGGAACACGACTATAGGCCTCGTGGCTCTGCAGCTTTCGCTCGTTCAGAAACGCAAAACCCATAAAATAAAGAAGTCGCTGCCACTGCAGAGCCCAGATGGAGCGGATTTGCACGTAAGGAGCCGAAACTGAAGGGCCAGCCATTGTGCTAGCATTGTTTCAAATGCGATTCTGGAATTCACTTTCAATTGGGGGGTATCGAATTCCTCTACGGGCACCCACGCGCATAAATGGATATGCGTATATACGCGAATATGCATGTTTTGACTGCATGCATGGTCTATTGCTCTTCCACGTTACGCACATAGCGAGCGCACACAAAAGGGATGGTAGAGTATTGTTGGATGGAAGCTGAAAGGGAGTTGATGAATCATAATTCGCATGCATGTTGTCACTTTACAAACTATTTTCAGGGTTCCTTGCGGGTCACCGTGTTTGCTTGCGGCCCCGGCGAGTCTCCCCCAAGCCCGGGTGAGGAGCTCGAGGATTCTGATGACGAAGATCAGGGCTTGATAGATGACCTGCGAAATGTTGTAATTGACAACAACCGTAAGCCTGACTTTTTCCACCCCCTTGGGCCTGCTCAGGCCAACAGTGTTAGCTTTCTAGACCCCCGGAAATATCTGCTTCTCGCACTTTTTCTGACTGTTGATGCTGCTGCTTCGTCCCCTGTGCTGCTCTGAGAAAGTGGAAGAGGATCGTGGGCAGCAAGCATTTCGTTCTACTGAGGCGGGTAGTTTTGGTGCATTTTTCTGCTTTTCTACCGAATTCAGAGGACCTTATTCGGGGGGAAGGTTGCAGGCCATACAATGTCTACGTGACGATTCACCGTCTGGAGGACGTCCCGCCCGCTTCCAAAGGTAATGGGGTTCGAATGATTTTACGATTTTGCATTTATGCAGATAATTTATATTGAATAAGAGCTCTGTGTTTTTGTTTGTACGTATGCATGGCTACGTGTGAATGTAGATCCTTGGCATGTACATGCATGTTTGTGTGCATTGCATTGTTCGTGACAGGAGAGCCTAAGTAAGCTGTGCCAATATGAGTATTCTGGAGGCATTACTGCGGGCGGATATTTTTGTGGTGTGCGTATAGGTCTGAGGGATCCTTTTGTTGTCTGCGAATTCGCTGGTTGTCGCGTACGAACGGTAAGCTTTTAGAGCTTCTGCTGCTGCTTGGCATCAGTGCTGCACAGTGAGCCAGAGTAGCGGCCACGACTACTCTTATGGATTTTGTTGTCTGGATTGGCAGGCTCAAGCGCGAGCCACGAGCTCTTATACCTTCAACGAATGCTTCCGCATTCCAGTGCTGACTCCAGTTCCGGAAGACACAATATTAGTCAAAGTGTGGGACTGGAACTTCATGAGCGCGGATGAACTTTTGGCAGTGGTGAGGCATCATTGGCTCCGTATTTTCCACCCCAAGAATTTTCGCCACTCAAAATGAGTATGTGACACACGAAGCTTGCATTGAACAGAATTTTCGGTGAATTGTATGTGGCAAATCCGTATAGGGCCGTATTTCGTTTTCGGAGTTGAGATCGCGTCACATTCTTCCTCGGTAAGACTGGCGGCGAACACTTTGCGCTTGGAGTAGTGATACTGCAGTGGGCTGAAGCATAAATCAGAGCCCCTTAATGCCATGCAGTGACGAAATCATTTCATGTATAAGTCAGAGACTGTGCACTGCTGGGTGTAGGTGGTTCAACTTTTACGGGTTTGATGTTGGGGAGATCCCTAACTTCAGCGAGGTCATCGCCCAAAGCGGCAAATTGATTCCTTGCACTTACATGGGTAGGCTGCTGCTGAGTGCTCGGGCAGAACGGCTAAACAAAGATGCCGAGCTGCTGGCGGCCCACTCAGTGGCAGCTGCACCATACGAAGACCCGCGATTGATTCCTATTTTGATATTTTCGGACGTTTACGAGGTCAGACTTGGGCAAAGAACACCAGTCTCCACTGCATCCGGTTAAACGAACGTTATTGACGCCACCGAGATTAGGAACGAGCCTTGTTTGTTATCTGGTTTGTTCATTGTTCATCTCCAGGTCCAAGGTGCTCCGGGTGACAAAGTGTACGTCGAAGTCTCTTGTGGGCCCATCAAAGAACGAACACGTTGGGTGGCTGGTGGGTACTGCATTATATAGAGTTTCCTTCAAGCATGTGTATGCATCTGTGAAGTGTGCCTTCCATACAAGCATATATATATATATATATATATATATATATATATATATATATATATATATATATATATATATATATATATATTACTACATATAATTATATTGGCACGTGCATTTAAATATAGATGCGTACATTACGTAGAGGTATCTGTATAAATATATACCTTTATGCTTCATTGCTCATCGTTCACAGGGGACTCTGTAAAGAAGCGCGAACGTGAAATGGGAGAAGCTCCCTCTGCCGTGGCTGCTGCCCTGGAAGGAGCAAAGGGGATGGCAAATTATTTCCTTGGAGCCAAGCCTGAAGGGCAAGACCATTTCGTCTTTACCCCAGTAGATGGTCGCATACCGGAGCTTCGCATGGCAGTGAGCCTGGCGTATGCACGTGGTTCCTACACACACATTTGGATTCCATTCAAGTGATGCTTAAGCGCGTGCTTTCCAGGCTTTCGATATGTAGCATCACAGTCGCCACTGTTGCTAGTGCTGGGGAAGGTCATCACTTTTTGGGGGTTAAGTGCTGCAGCATTTAAAGAAGGTAAATTGGTTTTTGCTGTCGCCAGGTGCCGGATGATGAGAAGCAACAGTGGGACGTCATTATCAGCGTCTACGCAAAGGGAATTTCCAAGAACATGCCTCATCCAACGCGTGTGTCTTACCAGCGAATGCCGTAGGTTTCTCATTTTTCCAAAAACTACTGAGAAAGGCTCATCCGCGTTCCAAATGCAATATTACATTATGTACACTACAGCAAGGCTAAACGCCAGTCTTAGACTAAAGGTTTGAGCTAACAGCCGCACAGCCTCAAGGACCTGCTCCGCTAAGGGCTGAGAATGCGGGGAAGCTGAGGGCTTCCCTGTTGCCATGTTCATGCAACTGCCGGTTGCAAGTTTGAGTATGCGGATGCATTCAGACTGGCTAACGTTCCTCTCTACGTACAGAACAATCCTCGTGCACCTGTTTGGGTGCCGCTGCACCCGATGCCGCATCTTTCCGGCCTGCAGGCTCCCTCTGCGGTTCTCATGACGTTAGAAAAAGCAAAGAGTGAAGCAGCAGCTAGAACGAAGTGAGACTACTGTGGCTGCTAGCCACTGCAGCGGCAACGTGAGCAGCGAAGTCGCGTCCCTTTCTGAGACATATTGAGCGCAACATGTAGTCTCTTTGATCGTGATGCAGGCGCAAGCACGTTGTTGCTGCGGAATATCTGCTGCGGGCCTATATATACACTGCCCGCAAAATTTCATCTCCTAGCGGCGCTCTCCCGAATCCAATCGTTCAGGTGAGCCCACGAACCGCCTTCGCATTTTCATTTATCCCCGTCCTAAAGTGCATTACTTATGGCAGGCCTTCATAAAGTGTAAAAAATAGCAAGTGTTTACTTCCGTGAAAATTCCAGAAGCAGGGAAGTCCAGCAGTTCCCCCATGGTATCTTGAAAATTCCTCGCTAGACCCCATTTTTGGGTACAGAGTAAATGCTCCCATAGAGCTTGCGGGAGTCATGCGGAGAATGTTGGTGGTTGAATAGGTGACATGCGCTGGAGTGACAAAGGAAACGGAACCGTGTGAAGCCACTTCCAATCCGGTCTTTATGGAGTGTTTGCACTTGGAGTTGAGACTAATGGTGAGTTTGTTACTCCATGACTGTATTCATTCCCTGAATGCACCTTCACAACAGCGTGTAAGAACCGGTGTAGACAGACACCTTCGCATAAAAGCCATGATGCCGACAGGAGAGCTGTTTTTTGGGTAAATTTTTCTCCTTGTCTTTCTGCACATTCCTTCAGACGGATACAACTACGCGTCTCCCCACAGTTGTTCCTATAGTCACCAGCTTATTCGATGACCGCTCTTGGGGCCGTCAGCTTCTTGGCAGAGCTGTCTGTCACTACGATAGACTGAGGGGAAAGCTCAAGGTAAGTTTGCGGATTTTTATGTGCCATATTGTTAACTCTTCGCGCACAACAAGGGATGCATATGGCCATGTGCAGTAGTGTTGGGCTTGCTGCTGTGTTTGAAAACGGCGTTGCAGCCTGGGGAAATTCCTGCAGTCGCTGAACCTAGGTGGATCAAGCTCAAGGGAGGGCAGCGGCTAAATAAGCACCGTGGAGATATCCTCGTTTGTTTTGAACTTATTCGCAAGAAGGATGCGGAGGTACTGCCTGCGTACCCAATGAGGCCTCTAGTTTGCATGTGCAGGCTTACTCTTTCCTGTCTAAATTTGCGGGATTTAATTCTAGCTCCGAAAGGTAAGCGTGGTTCTGGCTCATATATGGCCAGTATGCTTGTGCACAGTCGATTTCACCCGATCTTAGGATGAGCTTTTTCTTCTTGTTTACCGGCAGCTGTGTTCTTGCTGTCACACTGCGGCTCTTACAGGTCGTCTTATCGATTTTGATAAGATAGTTAGGGAAGATTTCGAAGGTTTAAGGCGCGTCCGAAACCCGGTTTTGCTCATATCGATTCCATCATTTGGGTCTGTAGGGCGCGATAGAACCAGTATGACACTTCAGTACGAGAGGAATGCGGATGGAGACCCAAGTGTACGTCGGTGGATCTCATAGTAGCTCCGGTATTTGTGTTCTAAGCCGCGCAGCAGTGGCCGAAGCATGCTTTTTCTGTACTACATCTGTACTATGCTAAAGTGACGCAGAAGTCGTTGGCAGCTGCTTATTTTTGGTGCCTGTGGCTCGTGAGGTCATATTGTACGGTACAGGCTCCCAACAGGAGGTGGTCGAACGGCCCATATGAAAGCTTCGACATTTTGAAGGTAGCTGCAATAGATGTTGACATTCCGGAAGACCCCATTTTCGACCCCATGCTCACGATCCAGGTGCGCAAAGTACTTCATTACTTTCACTGGTGCACGTGGTTCTTTTGAATGCTTTTGAAGATAGTTGTCTAATTTCTTTCTAAACTGATGAGCCGAGTCTCGAGTGAAGGAGTGGCAGTGGCATTGGAGACGAGTGTGTAAATTTTCAAACTCAGGTTTATGACAGAAAAGTAAAGCCCAAATACTTCATTGGGCAATTCACCTTATCCTTGATTCCATTGATGCCGTGGATAGCCGATGTAGAGGCAGCACTTGACGACGTGCGTCCTTCACGAGATTATGAAGACTCGATTGACTTAAAAAAAATCGGTAAGTTAAAGTCTACGTTGGCACGCACGCTGCTTGCATATTGAAAGCAGATAGCAACTCAAACATCACATGTCATACTCTTTCAATTCTGCCATTTGACGTCTCTTAAGGTTCATCCCTAGTACCCGTGGTGTCTTTGAGGCTCCAGGCGGCATCATGCGTGGGAGCAAAGGGAAAAACCGGCGGGGGTTCAGCACAGCGAATGTTGTCCTCGAAGCAATCAGCGCAGCAGACCGAGAAGTTGCGGAGGCAAACCAGTCTCACTACTTGTATCACGTAGGAGTTTTGAAGTATGATCCAGGGGCAGAGGTGAGCGCATTTATCAACTGCTTGATGCCAACTGCTGTCTGTTCGTGCCAAGCATGACGCAGCTTTAATAGCTTCCTTTTGAATGTGGGGCTGTTCGTGGCATGCCCTGCCTAAAGGGAAAACTTTCGGATGAAAGGAGGTGGCCTAGGGGAGCTGCCCGCAGATCAAGATGTCGAGGCTGCATGCAGAGCCGTGCCACACGCTTCGCATAGGAACGAAGCCATTACATACAAAGAACCTGCCCAGCTCAGCTGCAGCCAGAATGACGTGCGCAGTTTTTGTTGTTTTCCTGGACGTTACGCATCACATAATTGTTATTATTTTACTCTGTAGGGTGTGGCATCTCTATGGCTCTATCCGGACTCTTTGCCGAAGCTCCTCGTTCAGTCTTATGCTCTGCCGTCCGACCGGCCAGTTCTTCTGGCCAGCAGCATGTTTTCCCTGAATGTGTTTATTCCATCGAAGTAAGTTTGAACGAAGCCATGTGGAAATTTCCCCCGCTCAATTCACGCCAATCAATTTCGAGAGCTTTAAGCTTTTCCTAGCACGTCTCTATATGTTACACCGTGACATACACATGCACATTTACGCGCACCCCTCACTGCGCTTTGGAAGTGTAGCTAGTCTCTGGACTTCTCGTTTGCTTCTCTGCAGGTTCGTCTTGTGCGCCGAGGGAAAGCGCGCCGCCGAGAAGAAGACAAAGGAGCAATTTCAGCGCCCTTCGGTTGAGTCAACTGTCGAGACCTTTCTGATCGATGTTGATTTCCCTCCAGACCCTCTTAAGAAGAAAGCCATGGGACAGACGCAACTCACAGGTTCAGTCAAATTTTTTGTGGACCTTACTCACAATGGTGAGCTCAAATCCATATGGCTTCAGCTCCTTTTACCAATACGCTTCTTATTGACTCATTGCAAGGACATGCCACCGAACTGTGATGCCTACACTGCCGGTGTTTACTCAGGAGAGCCGTCGCAGCACGTCGATCAAACTGTTGTACCGTGGGCGCTGAACGAGTCGCGCCTCCGAAAGCATTTTAGAGGGGAAGAGGCCTACCCAAAAATGATTAAGATCCGCGTATATGTCATTCGTGCCATTAATGTCCATTTGGTCAAAGGGATGACAGTAGCAAACCCGTACCTCGTATTCTCGATCGGGAAAACGAAGGTGAGACTGCAGCGTATTGCCTTGGGTGGCTCTTGTTCGGAAGAAGCAGTTTAGTTACAACTCCGTTTTAAACACATTGAAAGGAGCCTTTGAGACTTCTACATGGCAAATGGCCTTGATTTCTGCTCTACAATGCTGCACGGACAGGATTGTGTGTTCTTACTTGTTTACCTTTGCGCTCTTGCTCTCAGAGCACACACGTAGATAGCCTGGTGAAATATTTTTCTTTGCCTTGCCTTTTCAGATGCCATTTCGTGCTGAAAATAAGCCCGGAACGCTAAATCCAGACTTTTTCACCATGTGGGAAAGGGATGTTGCATTCCCTGATGAGTCTCGCTTAGAGATTAGTGTGTGGAGCGCACATGAAAAGCTGCTGCAGCAGGTGGACGACATATTCTTGGGGAGCACTGTAATTGACTTGGAACAGAGGTGAGATAGTTTTCACTAGAAATTACGCAAACGCAGAGGGAAGAAACTCAAGTGCTTCAACATTGTTTTCACGACTTCAGGACCATACCGCTTCCATGGCCTGTGGTAGCCTTTGGCTGAGAAAGAGGCTCAGCTCTGCTTTTGGGTGTTTGAATAGGAGCAGTTTATCGGGAGTGCTTCCAAAGGGCTGCCCTAAACCAGTCGTGTATTTTTGCCTCAGGTGGTTTTCAAAGGAGTGGCAAACGTTTATGAAGAAAAATGAAGTGCCTATGGAGTATCGACCTTTAACAAGACGACCGCACGGTAATGTGACGGGGAGCCTTGAGATGTGGGTGGAGATGATGGACTCACAGAAGGCAGGCAGGGTCCCTCGGTTCAACCTCCAGAAGCCATCATCAACTGATATTGAGATTCGGTAGGAAGTTCGCTTGCTATAAGCTCCGTAAACAGGCCAGTTTGCTGCCTTGACGCGCATCGTCTCCACTTATTAAGTTGTTGCCTTCAGAATTTTCCAAAGAATAGATACGATATCAGCTTGCTTTTTGGGCCCCGCAGGGTTGTTCTCTGGGGCTGTCGAGGGCTCCACTTCAAGCACTTAGGTTCGAAAAAGGAAACAGTCGACGCTGTACTGAGGTGCACAATGGACTGCACAAAGTATCAAGGCCCACAGCCATTGCTGCAGAGCACAGACGTTCACTATTACTCGAAGACAGGGGCTGCAATTTTCAACTGGCGCGTTGTATATTCGCGTGTAGCAGCGCCAGTAAACTCCTGTATTCTTCAGATATCTGCTTACGACTTCCGCAACATTGGGGAATCGCCATTTATTGGAGAGGTATTTTTTCCTTTCCTGATTCTTGATGCCATCTTGTGTGTGTGTGAGTGCATTAACATCTACATCACGCACATACTGATGTCCTTATATATGTGTGATACACCCACAAACATTAGTAATCTACTTATCTGCATGAATGGAAGCAAAGTTGCATCCATGCGCATGGCATCACGAAGAAAAAATGCCAATTTGGTGCATGCACCTAAATGCACTGCTCGCAGCGCCGCGCTTTTGCAGTCAACCAGGATGAAATGCAGGCGATTCAGACAAGCAGAGTTGAAGGTGTGTGATCTTTTGTTAACTCTGTCGTTTCGAAGGTGAACTTAGAAGTTAGGAAGTATCTGGAACGTGTCGCACAAACAATGGCTTCAATTGAGGTTGACGCTGAGCTCCGACTGCAAAATCGTGCTCACGAGACCGTGGACGTGCAGACCTTCGGATACGTTCAAGTCACGCTGCAGTTTATGGCGCAATCAGAGGCAACAAGCAGACCTGTGAGTGATAGGCAATCAGTGTACGTTGCCGGCATGTGCAAATGCCTTGGCGCCGCATTTAACTCGCTCTAGAAAAGCGCTTGAAACTCAGTACCTGGATATTCAAGAGGATTGACACGTTCGGCTCTTGACACAGGCAAGGGGGTTCTTAGCAATTTTTCTGGGATGCGTTAGGTGGGGTTGGGACGTGAGCCTCCAAACCGTGATCCCCGTCTTACGACACCACAAGAGGGGCGCAAGTGGGAAGACGTCCTCGGCTCCGCTGGGCTTCGTGTTGACTACAGGCCTATATGGTATTGGGTGAGCCTAGTGAATGGTTGCAGTTTTCAGCATGTATAGTAGGTGCGTTGGCTTGCTCTTGCTGTGCGTGTCAGAAAATTGGTAACATGCGGCGGTACAGTCGAGAGAAACCATCGATTGTTCGTTTTACGGTTTCCGTCGATTGTACCTCCACATATTGCCAATCTTCTGACACGCAAAGCAGTGCCGTTGCATGGGTCGAGCGTGCTACGTACACATTGCTGTGGAGTTTTAATCTCTTTCGATGCTTTTCAGGTGCGCGTGGTCTTTATTGTTTTCTTATCACTGTGGCTCTTCGTCATTGCTTTTCTCTATCCGGCCTTGTTTCTGTAAGTCCATTCGTGCCTTCTGTCGACACCTCGAGTACACGCATTTTGCTTTTGCAAACCCAGAACTTACAGTTCTCCTTCGACCCATAACACGTTTGATGACTTAGGAGGGTTGCCTTAATTGTCATATTTGTGCAGATCCTGATGCATCGCCAAATCACCATGTACCCAACGCACAAATATGCTGTGATCTGGAGGGACGTGACAGAAGGCGGCATCAACGAGTTCCGCACTTGCAGTCTGAATACTGCATTCACACACACGCGACAGTTACCGCGTGCCGTATGCACTCGGTGCTGCGGATGCATCTAGTTATCTGCGTGAGAGCTCGCTTCCGCTGCGAAAATTGGCGCAGCACGACGCGCATAGTGTAGACAACCTTCCTGTGCTTAAATTATCCACGAAACATCAAGATCTACACATAAAGAAACTACGGGAGGTAAATTTGAGCGTTCATCCATCCAATTCGTTAGATGGAAGCAGCTGTACAGTCAAGTGGCTTAGATGGCGCCTTGCAGCGGGCAGCGATTTCCAAAGTGCCCCATGAAGGGCTATGGTCGCTGCGATGGATTCCTTAGTTATGCATGCAACTTCCGTTCCCGTTCATAGCGTCCCAACTGACTTCAGCCGGCTACGTCAGGATGTAGCGATGTCAGCTGGACGAGTAGCGAGGAGCCCATAGTCACCATTGCCCAAACAACGCGAATGCGACATGGTGCACAAAATGACTCCCGCACGTTTTCAACTAGCCTCATAGAGTAATTCGCAACACGTACACAACACAGCTCAGAAGGTTACACCACAGGCGGAAGGTCGCTACCCTCAGCAAATTCGACATGCTTTGTACTCGGGGTGCGCCTTCGTTTGGGCTAAATCTGCGCCATAAGAAAGGCGTGGCACCAACTGTGAGTCAACCCCAAATCTGAGGGTTCGCACTCAGCCTTACTACCCGCTTGCGTCTGTTATTAAAACGGAAAGAAAGATGGAATAACACTTGCATTTTCATTCGCCACCGGAGTCACTAACTGCCTCCGCAATTTTTGTACAGCATAGTGGGCACTTCACACTATGACTAGTCTTGATCCACCTATCTAAACAGAGCTCGTGGAAAATGTGGAGGCATCGCAAGGTAATCAGCGCCTCGCCCAACTCAAAAGCGCTCAAACAGATGCAGCATTCCTTTCCATTCTGCGTATGTGCCTGCGCAGGCTCCTCTTCTCTCTTGGCGCCATTCTCGTTAGTGGTACATCGTGTGGGTGAGGTCCGTTTCTTGTGCGCAAGTGCGGCATTGTTTGTACACTGGTCCCTCTCGGAGCCCGTTTTGCTGTTGCTGCCAACAGCATTCCCTGATCCTCCGTACGTCCATTTGATAGCATGTCGGTCCAAGTTTACGCGCAGACTTCGCGCCTCCACAACTTGTTGCAAGGGCACATGAGTCCCATCCAAGTCCGCGAAAATTTGCGGTCGTGCTTCATGACCGTTTACAACTCCTCCTCTTGAGACAATGAGCATAACAGGACCATCACGAACGTCGAAATCATCTAGATATATACTTCGCTCAACTTCCTCGATGAGCCTCTCGACGTTTTGCTCTAGAGCATCCAACTGTGGCCGATCTGACGCGAATGCCGGGAACATCACAAATGAAGCATGCTGGTGCCGAAGGATTCGTACGTGGGGCCTGCGGTCTTCACCGCCAGAATGGGCTCTGCGCCCACGAATTCCTCTCCATGGATCTCCCCAAGCGACCGAAGCGGGAGTCGACATTGACGAGAGGAACGAACGGACCATACCGGCAGCGAGACTGCGGTGGAGGCGAGCTGCCAAGGCTCCGCCAAACAGTCCATCAAAGAAGCTTGTGCCAGTTCTGACTTCCGCATGGTTGTTCACGGGTTCCCGCATACTTGGTCTCAGGCTGTGGGGCCTTCCAGTTATACTATCCCACGTGTATCTCTCGTCAATAATCACCGGTGGCTCACCGCTTTGGCCCCCAGCTAACCCTTCTGGCTCTCCATGAGCACCTAACGATGGACCGCGGGTTCTCTGCGAAGCAGAAACATAGGGTTGACCAGTCCTCAATGACCTATACCCATCACCCGTCTGGTTACGTAGAGATTGCCTAGAGGAAGATCTGCTGGAGCTCCCCTGTGCTGAACCCTCCATCAACGCTTCGGCAGCAGGTAGTATTGGCACACTGCTAACTGACTCATCCCTAGGGTATCCGACAGCAGCATTTCCTGCAGAGCTTACCGAATGGCTGCTATGACGAGGCATGGCCAACCTGGTCGATGTGCCTGGGTTCCTCTCTCCGGACAGCTGCATTCCCCTATGTTCTATGCCATGTGAAGCGAATGTGTTGCCTCCACGCGCGTCATCCATCCTATGGGCTTCTACGTGGCTTGCATGATGCCGTGATGTGCCATGGTAGCTGTGAGCAGTCCTACCCAGGTCGTGTAGTCCCGCAGCCACTTGGCTTGAACCCCACAGGCCGGGCGTAACATCCAGCCCATCGCTCAGCCTCGCGTACTGATGTCTTCCCCTCCTAAATGTGCTTTCCTGGGAGCTGTATGACATACTGGGAACTGCGGACGGATTGCCTGCCGAATGAAAAGTAGCTAAGCGCGTCTGATGTGGCTGGTCACGCCCCAGCGAGGCGATTCCCCGTGCGGCGGGAGCTGGTGGTAAGGGAACCAGATGCGTTGGAGGCAGAATGTTAGCAAGGCGGCTATTGTTATAGTTAGCGGGCCCTTTTCGGTGAGCGCGGTGTCCTCCAGAGCCCTCCATCGGGAAAAATGGGACCACGTCACACAGTCCGCTACGAAGTCTGGTGTGCGGCCTTGTGGCGATGGAATAGAACGATTAAGCCTTCACAATATCAAAGGCACACAATGCTAAGATGCGCTAAACGTCTCAGCACGTAATGCCGCACGTGACTGTACCAGTGGCATCTGCCTACCCGATGCTCTTCCTGGCGCTCCTCTCTCCGCTGCCGCAGTGTCCACGCCCTAACGATTGTTTCCAAATAGAATATGCAAACGTACAAGATAAATTATGGGGGATAGACAAGAAGTGGCAAACGTGCTGTGGGCCGCGTGAGCTTGCCAACCGCCTCGTGTGCTGCGTTGGTCAGGCGGGTCATGTCTGTCGCCACCTGAAATCACAGTTGTCGTACATTAACTGTGTCTTGTCTTAGTTATGCACTGAATTGCTATTCTTCATTAAATTAAAACACCCAAAATGAAAATACTGCAACTTCACCTCCGGGAAGGCATCATTGGTGTCTGTCGAGTGCCGCAGCTGCACTGTCAGCAGGCCAGACCACGGCTTCCATTGGAGCGACCTGTGATGTGCTGTGCACACAGGGCTTTTTCCAGCAAGAACCGCCCAAATCAATACATCTTCTTTATAAGCTGCATTTGAGTATGTTTAACTGGGTATTCCCCTGGAGACACACTGCTGCTGCCCCACAGCGCGAGCTGTTTGTCCTCAGCTGACGGACCAGCCAAGACGCATGTGTATTCGCTCCTTGCTTCTACGCTGACCCTTCGCCGCAGCCCCTCACTAGCTCAATTTTGGCCAAGTTTTTATAAAAGTCTGGGCGACTGCAAACTCTTTAGAACTGCCGTGGCTTGTCCGCGGTACAGAACGGGACGCTGTCCTTGCCAATTCGAGGACAGAACCTCGTCCGCAGAATTGTGTGCACTCCAGACCTCTCAATAATTCCACAGTACAAGGAGCTATGTTCTTGGCGCATGTGACTGGTAGTGTAGCCGAATAAATCCGGCACAGGGGAACTCGCCATCTCCCCTCCACCACGGTCACCAGTTGCGCCACTCCAGTTCCACCTCGTTTTCGAAAAGAAAAGGGGTGAGGACGAGCACGCTCATGCATGTTCTGGCAGGTCACACACTGCTCCATGTACCGCACATATATTTGGAAGCCGTGGAGAGCACAGTTTCCTGAGTGCAGCACAGGAGCACCTGGGCTCAGCAAGGAAGGACCATGAGTAAGCCATGATGAGATGTGTAAATTTGGCGCTTGAATGTAGCTGCCTGAAACGCGATTTACTGGGAGACCTCGAAAGCTTGTGGCTTGAGGACGTGGTGAAGCCCAATGGCTGCTCGACAACCGGCCTCGTCGGCCTCAAAAGGCCCCTCCCAACTGCTGCTGTCATCGGATAGCTCCTCCAGTGATGACCTAACTTCAGCTGTAGCAGTTCCGAAAGGACCATTAGCAACTCCAGCAAGGCGAGGACCGCCGCCACCTCCCTCAAAGGGAACCAGTCATGCGCCACCTCCTGCGAAAGACGGTTCAGCGAAGGCTCCAAAGAAGCCTGCAAAGAAGTCTCCACCATCTCCCACTGTGGACCTTTTGGGTTCTTTGTATGTCCCTGGAAGCCCACAGAACCAGTCCAGAGGTCCTGCAGATGCAGCTTTAATGGTAGAGGATCCACTATTGTCCATCGACTCCCCTTCACAGGCAGTGAAGCGGATTAGGAGCGCAGTCATTGCCAGACCTCCTAATGCCGCTGTTCGGAAGGATAGCGATGCCAAAAGTGTGCCTACGGATGTCCAGAGAGAGATGTACCAACCGCTCTCGCGAGCGCCCTCCAAGCAAACAGCGGCCAAGCCATCAGAGCATCCAATCGCTCGTAAGCCCACAGCAGGATTGCCCATCAAAACCAGGGGAAGTGTCGTGGGCCGTGAAAAGACAGAACGCACCGAGCCATCTCAAGCTGAGAAGAAGGCCACACCATCTGCAGCAGCTCGCGGGGGATTGCAAGATACCTCGGCAGTAGTTTTGCAAGCGTCGGCATCTGGAGACGCGTGGACTGCGGTGGCTCGCAAAAATTCCTTGGCGAAATCAAAACATTCGGGCAAAGAAGCGTCTTCTCATGTTCGGACTCAAGCTAACGCGGCAGAAAGACGGCCTCCCGCAGCAGGTTCTACAGCGCCTCCGAAGTCTGCCATTCTTACCAAGCAGCAGCCGAAACTGCCTTCGGGAAGAGGGGAAACGGAACCTGGCCAGGATGCGACGGCATGGTCAGATATGACGTTCGACAGCTTCGCGGGGGTTGGTGAGGCCGTCCAGAATACCCCGCGGAAGGCTCCTCAGAAGGCCTTGCCTGCAGGAGGCTCAGATACGCCCTTCTCGTCTAGCTCTACACCGAAAGTAGACTCAAGCGTTATGCGCGACCTTGAAGACCGTCTTGCAAAGTCAAGGCGGCGCATTAGCGAACTCGAGGCACAACTAGCTGACAACAGCAAACGGCATGAAGAAGATGTCGAAAGGATACGGCTCCAGCTCAGATCAAAGCTTGCCGAAGAGGTACGAAAGGTTAGGTCGGACCGAGAAGCAGATATAGAGAAACTTAAGAAGGAGGAGGAGGAAAAACGAGAGGAAATTCGAAAGCAAGCCCTGGCCCGGCAGAGCAGTATGAAGATGCGGTGCGATGCTTCCGTTCGCGAGCTCAGGGAAAAAGTAGGGTCTTTGGAGCAGCAGCTAAAGGCAAAGACAGAGGAGTTCGAAAAGGAAAAGGCCACTCTCATGAAATCCTTTGAAGACAAGCGGAAGAATGACCTTCAGGCACAGGAAAATGAGGCAAAAACGCACCAGAGGGAATTGAAGACCAAAGAGTCAGAGCTGCTAGAGCAGCAGGGCAGGGTGCAGGCTCTTACTGCAAGCATGCAGACTCTCACAACTTCTCTCGCCCAGATGAAGGAACTAAATGATATATCGAGGACGGCTACGCAGGCGCTGGAAGAAAAAGCAAAGACTCAAGCTGCCTTCATCAACACGCTCATGAAAAGGGAAGAAAACCTCCGCGCCCAGGCAGCGAAGCTAATGCCAATTAAAGAGGCAAAGAGGCTGGCTTTCCGGGCATTGCTTAAAGGAAGAGCAGTGGAGATGATATCGCGGGCCTGCATGCCGACAGATACAAGCCTTTGGAATATGGCATGGGCTTTTCAGCAGTTAGTAGATCTCATTGGTGGCGCACGCGGGGCCAAAGAGAAAAGACAAGATGCTATTGAGTCTAGACTGATGCAGTTCCGTAAAGAACAGATGTTCTTAATGGCTGAAAATGAAAGGCTTATGGCAAAGGTAAGGATAAGTCACGCATGTTTAGTTTGTAAGTATGCGTTCCCTTATTTAAGCACATAGAGATGCCGTGTAGGAGTTAATGTTTTGTTTGGGTTTGTGTCCAGGTTGCGGAGCTGCAGCAAGAGGGTGTCAATCAAAGACAGAGTAGGGTGAGTCTCTTCTGCCATTGATCTGTCCAGAGGAGGATAGCACCAGTATGCTGAACTCTGTTAGGTGATTTGTGCATTGCATAGGGCTCCTCCATGTTCGTATCAACTGTTCTTTGTTGTGTGTACCAGGCGGCATTAATGGAGCAGGCCCTCATAGGAGAAGCTCCTAGCATTCCAGGCTATGCATTTGGCAACATTCACGGGAAACTAGGTCACGAGCCCAGCGTTATGTGGCTGGTATGGTCTGTCCAGCATCTGGTGAACAAAAGGATGCTGTGGGCATTCTTAAGGTACGTGTCAGATTGCAACTTGGTCTTGGTGGTACCTTCGGAATTGAAACTTAAAAATGGTCCCTGTGTGGTGTTTCTTCTCTCCTCCCACTGCTTCAGGCTGCAGAAGGTGACAACTGAAGCGGAATCGAATGCTACAATAGATAAACTGCAGAAGAAGTTCAATGAGTTGCGCGTATCTGCGTACAAGGACATGGCGGCACGGATCGGAGTATACAGAATTGCCTCGTTCATTAGGTAAGAACCTTACGTAGAACAATAGCGCAGAATTTCCATCTGTTGCTTTTCGACAGCTCGACGTCACAGCAGTCAGTGAAGGGCTGGGCTTGTTTCAGGTGTATGCGACTACGCACATTGTTCGTCGCTATATTCAGCCTTGAACGAAATGCAAGTGAGGTGCCGAAAAAGTTACCTTCCCCTGGGTTTAGCGCACTCATTTGTTCAGGTACAGCATTAATAATTTGCTGCCTGTGCACTCTGGGCCAGCCTTGAACACTGTGTTGTGGAATTCGCTGCAGCTCTAAGCTCACGGGAGGATGCCATAAAGCACAGAGAGCAAAACAGAGTCTTTCAGGAGCCGTTCCTGAGAGAAACAGCGGCAACAGAAGTCCCCTTTCCACGGACATCGTACGCGTGTGGAGAACTTGGCCGCGTGGACCTCAATGTGCCCCTGGCACACCAGCCACACTACTACAGTTACTTGCCTTCCGCCCGCAATCACGCAAGAGGACGCAACTTGTTTGTCCCAGTGGTCGAGCCGAGGCCACCAGTACAAGGCTATATGCCACACCCTGGCTATTCAAACACCCAACTGTCGCTCGGGGTACCACCATTCGTCTCGAAAGGCCGACGAGCAGGCAGCAGCCCAGGGATGCCAAGTGTATTCCCCTCAGGGCCGTACGACGCAACACAACCAGTAGATGAGCGCGGAGCAGTCTTTCGTATGAGAGGAGCACAACATGACCTAAGGAGGATCATGATGGACAGTGCTCCTGACAAGGTCGGGGCGCGCGTTGTCGGGAGGAAGTGAGCAGCTAGATACGCACATCTAGCGCGAACTGTGATTGAATAGAATATAACGGAAGGAAGATATAGGAGGGGGACTGCGAATGCGTTTGTCCTACTTCAGGCTGCGGAACACGGGCTCCGGGTCATGAGCGTCGCCGTAGCTGTATAGGCCCCCGATTCCCTTCGATTTGAACCAGAGCGGCGGAACGAACGCATCCTGAGGAGTGCAGTTCTTGATGTTTACCCACCAGATGAGTTCTGAGAAGGGGACAGCAGGCTTTGCCTTCACGATATCGAGCACCTTTGGTAGTTTAGCTGAAAGATGAAGAAGGCACTGCCGCCACAATGTTTTTGCGTTGGCGCAGAATTCATGCCACTGGACGTAAGTCTAGTGGAGCTCTCTGGGCCCCAATGCAGATAGTTAACAGAAAGAAGATGACGAGCACGTATACCAGACCAGCCGCCGTCGTGTCGTACAGGAACTTTACGGCGAACAATTCCCATATCTGCAGCAGTCCAAATAGCGAGAACGTGCACGCGAGTTTTTGCATCACCGTGCACCGACGCACACGCTAAAGAAACGCTGGCCGAATAATTCCTGCTTGTTGGTCGTAGCTTACGAAGAGATGGTTCCGAAGCACAATAAGCGATAGTAGGGAAATCAGGTGCTTCACAGTGATGCCAGTGAGAATCCTGCACCAAAGTGCAAAGGCATTAGTTGAGCCATTGAGAAATACAAGGCTTTCACACATCCCAGCTGTTTACGCCATTACAATTACAAATGTCTCACGCAATTCCACTGAGGGGCCTCAGCTGCCAGACTTTACCCAAGTGCAAGTCTTGCTGCAATCCAAATTGTGGAATGCACGACGGCTGAAGCCGTGGATCCGCAAAGGTTCAGTTCGGTACCACCGCCATATGCCAGATTCGCCGTGCGCAAAAACGCAATCATAAAGACGAGAGGGCAGCAGATCACGTAGACAAGGTACGTATGCAGGAACGTCGTTACAACTGATAATACCGGGTGGAACTCTAGCAATCCTACGAAGCCAGCTTCGATGGGGAGCGCGCTGAGCTTCATCCTGTGGCCAGTGGAGAAGAAGCCTTCAAGAGCCAACAGGGCACTTAGAAGGCCAACGCTGAAGTCGGACAGAAGGAACTGCCCTTGTCCTTGCTTGTCGCCCGGTGCTTCACACCCGCAAGCAGTGTGAGTGGTGTTGACATCCAAAGTCGTGAAGGGCGGGCATCTCGAGGAACAGATGCAGCACTTGTGAACCTGGGGGGAGTTTAAGGGCCGTTGCACAATGCGAATTCGGCTCAAGAACAGCAACAGGCGCCACTTTATACAGAACAGCAAAAGAGGGACCAGCCGCGCTCTCCCAAGAAGAACAGCAAACATGCATATTGGGCACACGGCTATGAGGAGCAGGTAATGTGAAAAATACTCAAAAAATTCTACGCGCCACAAACGAAAAGCCATTTCCTTCTCCCTCCTGTTGCGATGTAACGCAAAGCCAACATCAGCCAAGTCTGGCATTTCATCTCCCGCGGCCGTCTGTTCCGCTCCCACACGGCAAAGCTGCTGCATGCTAAGCTTGTTTTCGCGCTTCTTCAAGTGACATAGAACAAGCACTAGCCGCAGCCAAAGCCCTGCGGTGAAAAAGTAGACGAACCATGGCAAGGATACCTTCACCAGTGGGACTAATTTGACTAAATCACCTTCCATCAGTTGGGCTGGGATAGCTCCCCGCAACCAACGCGGCGGCTTGAAAAGCCACGGGTCCGGAGGCGTAATCCAACTTAAACAAGAAGCACCGGCGGCGTCGAAGCATTTAAAAGGTGTCAAGATGACAGTCCACAAGAGCGTCACTGCACTGTGACAAAGATCACTCCACATATCCGCATGGTCAGAAACTTCGGGAGCTGGCGGAAGTGCTGGATTCTGTGACTTCGTGTCGTTAGAAAACGCAAACCAGACCACAGCAACCGCTCCCAGAAGAAGAAATGCCGCTCTCTCTAAAGTGCACAACCTTCCTTCCTTATTCCCTCGCAGTGGCTGAAAGCTGGCAATTTGGAACCTGACACGCTCTTCAAAGATCCGCTGACGGCCATCTAACTTTCCAGATCGAAGCAACGATGACAGGAGGGGCAGATGCCTCATCCCAGCAACATAAAATATGCAGAACATAATGAAAGCGCTGGCGCTCGTTGAATCAGCTTGCAAAGGCCAGTCCTTCTTGCCCGCCTGCTCCCGTGGAGACGCAAAAGGGTCGAATGCGCTGCTCATCCTTACGCAGAGCATGAGGGCGGCACATCTGAATACCATAGCAATCAAACAACGCAGTGAGTACCCCGCAATTCTCCACTGACTGCGCTCACTGTAAATGCGGAAGCAAAGCCCTGGCACGTAAGCATGTTTATTCCAGAACCACTACGCGAGGAGCACAAACGGCATGCCACCACAGGCCTGAGAGAACAGAGCTCCAGCCTCTAGCAGCGCGCATTCGTGCGCGGCGCGGAAACGGGAAAGGCTCGGCCTTATCGTTCGCCATAGTGGTACTGCTTACGCGGCAACAATCTGCATTTTCTCCCGCATCACAGAAGGCGTTTTGAATACCGTAATTCCAGCCGACAGACAATAAGTGCCGATGAGGTACTTGACAATGCTGCACTCTCTGTCAACAAGACAATCGCTAAAGGGCACAATGCACAGCGCAAACACTGAAATGTAGCAAAGCAACGTCCCGCGATTGAAAAGACGTAGCCACAAGCGGGAGAAGCAGAGGTCCATCGATAGCAATGCGCCTAGGCCTTTCTTATCCTTTCCACCGTGCATAAGATGCTCGGCTTCTGCATCTCGCAATCGGCCAACCAATTTGCGGATACTTCGACAGACCGGAAGAAGCACCGGGGCGAATGGAACAACAACCGAGCACAGTAAGCCAGTCACGCAGACCAGTGGGAGCTGACGCCACACAAAGACGTCTACCGCAGCCGCTGAATCTGACAACAGGCCCTTGTATATTCCCGCATATGCCCACCCCACTACCCACGTCGCCCCCGAAATGCAAGCACTGGCGGACAGCCACCGCGCAATAGCGGCTAGCTCAGGAAGTCCACAGTCAGTGAAGACGTTTGTGGCGTCATTGACGTCACCGTCACGCGCTTTATGAAGCGCAAGAAACGCGCATGCCAAAATAAGAAGACTACTAAGTCCAATTAATGTGCCGCATATCATCAGCGTCATATTGAATGTGCACAGCTGGCGCACACTGGCCTGCCAGGCCTCTTGTGAAAAGGCTGCTGACGCCAGGAGGTAAGGAACCAATGAAGGTAAAATGGAGGCGGCGCCTGAAGCCCCTTCCGCTGCCGCCCCTCTCTCTGAATTTTTCCGGCCGCTTTTTTCCTCCCCGACCACACGTGCTTCGGACAGCTGTGATATGCGAGAAATGAGCTCCGTCTCGGCCGTCTCAGAGCCAATACTTGACAAAGGCAAAGTGAGACCCAAGCCAGCGGGCCTGGATTCAGGTATAAGCGTCCCTGCATTCATAGGCGCGTGTGCTGCTGCAGGGAGAGACTTGATCTCCTTGTCAAGTGCAGCATACAGCCTGAGCCACTTAGCTTTTGCTCCGGCAAACAGTGGATCTGTCAGAACTGCATCGTTACGCGAAAGTTCTGCATGACTAAGGATGGCTCGATGTTGCTGCCACGCTGCAATATGATGGAGCTGAGTCAGGTAAACCAAATCGCTGCAACGAATCGCCCGCGCAGTTACTGCTTCACTTGCTAACGCCGAATCGCATGGCTTGTCCTTATTCGTTTTACACGCGTGAAGGCTGAGAGATTCACCCTCAGGCGCTGGGGCACATTCCTTCACAAAGCTTGCAATGCGAGGAACAAGATCTGCGATAACCCTTCCCATGGAATTAAATGGAATGGGAAGACCCAAAAGTAGGGACAAAGTCGGCGCCAGGCCAACCTGTCGTACGCGAAGTGACCCGTAGCCGAGAATTGGTGTAGGGGAAGCTGACTGAGCTGACAGTCCGACCTTGCGGCGCGCATTATTATCACGAAGCGCACCGTGATTTTGCAAGTATGCCGGCAGACGGCCTTCAAATAGCCGAGTGCCAGGAAATAACATCTGTGCAGTGCGGGGACTCAAAATGGCAGGCAGCGTCGAAAATGACAAAAGACCAGCCTCAACCTAAAGAGCGAAACCGCACATAAAGGCGTCAAAGGCCCAAAAGGGGTGAAAGCAAATATGTAACAGTTTACAACTGTATCAGTTGACGATATCAGCTGTTCTATCAGTTGACTATATCAGCTGTTCGACTAACTAACAAAGTCGATTAAAGGAACAGCAATTTGTCACTATTCTCTTCTTGCTTGCACCTACTTCTTCGCTGCTTCCACCTCCGTGAGACCCAGTTTCTGTCATTCCATGGTCTCCAAAAACGAGGAAAAGCGTGTTCTCAGAAGCCGCAGATTTCGAATTCGGCTGTTGCTTAAGGACCATTTTCAGCGCATCTTTAAGCATGCTGTTTACTTCCGTCAACTTCTTCTGCATGAGCTCGGAATCGAGGACCGCCGCGTGGCCTACATGATCAACGCCTAGAGTGTGACCAACAAGGAATGCCCAGTCGTCCTTCCTATGGAACAAAGCACCGCCATCAATTTCAACAAACACCACCACAATGCGACCTCTGTCGGCATCTCTTGTGGGGAATCAAGATATTAATACCAAATTCAAAACCACTGCTACAGTAGCGCAGCATATTTCATCATATCACAGGCTGCGCAACGTTGGCGCAAAACACCACTACCATGTCGCTCGCAAGATACTGACGCATTATCCTCATTCGCGACCTGTAGCCATGAAACAAAGTACAATTCTGTTTAGTCATAAATCGCCATGTACGCAAGGTAGATGCACAAAATTCGCGAGTGTAGATAGCGGCATGGCTGCTCGCTGACATGACTTACGCGAATTCCCTTGGAAGACTAGAGGCAACTCCATCATCA